TCCGGACTTTGGGCTTAGCAAGGCAGGCGGCAGCATCACTGAGCTAAATCCCCAGCACCGGGACTGAGGTTTCTAATAAGCTTCTTGTCAATGCTAATGCTGCTGCCCTATCAACTACACATGGGTGATAAAGGAATAAAGCTACTGTCTCTCTGTGTGCAGAAATCTATGCCCTACTGTACCTGCCACAGTGTCTACCACCGATCATCCTTCAAATGCCAGCTTACCTCTTTAGAATCAAAGCAAACGTCCTGAACTGTTAAAGCTTTCGAATTTAATTCTAGGATGTTTTAACTTTTGCCCAGCTTGGACAGAAATGCGTGTTCCCTCCCATCTCCCAAAACTTGCTTTGAATTCCTTAAACAAAGAAACTAACTTTTGGCTTTCCTGTACTCTTGATGGACTTACATGACACTGTAGCCTTTGAGGACAGAAGGGCCTAAGTAATTAAATTATTTCCTAACAGCCCCGCCCCGCAACAAATGTAAATCTCCACTCCAGTAGGTAAAACAAAAACAAAAACGAAATAATTTGAAGCATTTAGTACGAAGAATCCCTAAACAGGGCTTCAAATAATAGAAAATCTTCCTGCTGGTTTGGCTTGGCAATAATGAGACTAATTCTTTATATTCTCAAAGGAAATTTATCTGCCCCCTCTTCCTCTGCCAAGCCCATTCCTGTCTTCCCTATCTGAGTTCATGGTATCTCCATCCTCCCAGTGTCAAAACATGAGATGCATCTTTGGCTCCTTCCGCTCTCAACTCTCCAACTTCCAGTCTAACACCAAGTCCTGTTGAGCTGCTTCTTTAACCTCTCACACTTGCTCCTTCCTGTTTTATCTCTGTCACTGTCCTGGGCTGTTTTTGTTCCCCTTGCTTGGATTAAAACTACTTCCTAACTGGTCTCCTGTTGGCATCTTCTCCAGTCCATCCTCTCAATTTGCTGCACCTGTTTCTACTGCTCAGAAACCTTCAGTGGCTCCCAAATGTATTCTAACTAAAGCCCACATCCTTACTGGAATTCTGGCACTGCACAATCTGGACCTAGCTAGCCCATTTCCCCCACTGTTATCTTCTGTGCACCCTACATACTGCCAACTGCCATTCCTTCGTTGCTTTTCAACTTCTAAATCTACATTGCTTGCTATCCATTGCCAGGAAACAATCCTTCCTCCATCTCTGCCTCTTGAACTTCTACCTATCTCTCAGGACAAACACGAGTGCTGTCTTCCCCAGGAAGCATCCCCTTCCTATAGCCGAGTGGTCTTTCCTGCCCCACTGTTCCCATGACACGGTGTAGCGTGATGCCTGGGCTCAGGGGATATGGAGTCCGGCTGTGTACATTTGAATCCGGGCTCTGTTGTGTCGTAGCCTTGTGACCCTCGGCAAGTTACTTAACCTTTCTGTGCCTTGTTTTCCTTGTGTGTAGAGACGGAAGGGGAAGCATGATGATATACCTACCTTTGGATATGAGTATGAGGATTTAACCAGTTATACACAAGAAGTGCAGGCTACGCTTCTATAAATGGCGGCAAAGCACATGACACTGGGGTCATGGCCCTCGGTATAGTTTTATCTGCCTTGGTCAGACTGCTATAAGAGCTGGACTTCTATCTTATTTTACTTTCTGTATCCTACTGCTCACTATGTGACACACATCTAGCAAATAACCCCTTCCTTGCTACAAAATCACAAATTCTTCTGTGTAGAAGTAGGAGTAACTATTTGAGATTAAATTACCATCTTTGTAGGTGTCAAATCCCAATCGAAATGCTTTGGTATACGACAGGATGGTTACTAGCTTGCTGGTTGGTTAGTTGTTTTTTTTTTTTAATGATACTGGGGATTGAACCAACAGGGGTGTCCTACCATGAGCTCCACACAGCTCCTTTTTCTTTACTTTGAGACAGTGTCTCACTGAATTGTGATCCTTTCCCTCAGACTCCTGAGTAGCTGGCATTATTGTCATGCCAGAGTGTATTCTTATTCCCTGGAACAGACTGTGATGTACTCGGGCTTTGAAAAGTTCCTTCTACCACATAGAAGTTTCAGTCTGGAGTTGTGACATCTTTGTTGGTCTTGATCTCTTGTAAGATATGTCACAAGGAATATGTTTAAATTAAATGCAATCATATATAGGAAGTGGTAGACCTGGGAAACAAATGAAGCCATCCTCTCCTTCAAGGTCATCAATTTCTCAGCCCTTGGTGTACTTTGGATGTATCCGAGGGCCTTGAAATACTGGTATCTGGATCACACCTGGAGAAATTCTGATTTAATTGGTCTGGGGAGTGGCATTAATTAATTAAATTCACTCAGTCAATATTTTATAGCCTACTATGTGTTGGTTGCCTTCTGGGCCTGGGTATTGAACAAGGCAGACACAAGCCCTGCTTCCAAGGAGTGCTTGTTTTAGGGGTAGAGGCAATAAACAAGCAAATGTAAAACAGATGATTTCAGGTTGTGATAAAGTCCCGAGAAGGAGCTAAATGAGGTTAATATGAGAGTGAGTAGCTGGGCTGGGATATTTAGAAAGAGAGGTGGTGGAAGGGCTCTCAGAGGAAGTAGGATTTGAGAAGGAGACAAAGGAAGGGTCTCCCAGTCTTAGGAAATGGGGAGCAAACCCCGAGGCTAGTATGGTTTGTGTGAAGGCCCGAGGTAGGCTGCAGCTTGTTTACATCTGCCTTTATCCTGATGGGGACGTTTCCTGTCATAGATGTCTCCGAAGTCTGCTGGACAAAGTCCAGACTCAGCATGACAGCCAGTGTCCCTGAGTCTAATGCAACAGCTCTCCAGCTTTCAGCTCCGACCTTTGGTGCTCCAAAGCCGTCCTTTGGTGCCTTTCCTCCTGCTCCAACCTCTGCCTGAAAGCTTTTCCCCACCTCTTTGTTGAATCTCAAGATTTAGCTCAAATTTGATCTCTTTTGTGAAGCATCCATCGACCCCACCCCCACCCCAGAGACTCCCATCTTCCTTCTGTCCAAGAGCATCGTACACATCTCTGCTGTCCTATTTCTTAGGAGCAAGAACCGTATTTGACTTGCTGTTATATCTACTCCTTTGTCTACAGTGGCGGATACATAGCCGGTGCTTGATAATTATTTGGAACAAATGCTGTATCACCATCGTCTTTCCAGAAGAAATAGCCTAGTTAGTCATGAAATCTGTGACCCCAGATGCAGAAATAACACAAGGACATTTTCTTTTCTTTCTTTCTTTTTTTTTTTTTTTGTACTGAGGATCAAACTCGGGTCCTTGCACTTCTGAGGCAGGCAGCAGAACCACTGAGCTAAATCCTTGGCCCACAAGGGCATTTTTCTATTTGGGAGCAGGGGATAAGCTTAGGATTCTATCTTAATGATGAGAACAACTGGAGAAAAAAAGGGAAGGAACACTAGGGCTTTGGGTTTTTATTTAAAAAATAAAAATAATGACCCAGAAGTCCCTATTGCAGTTTCAGTAAAAATGCTGTCTGTGAACTAAAGGGAGGGATTCGTAAAAGGTCAAATTAGGCTATGGTAATAAGAAATATAATTGCGTTCTGGCATTCCTTTAATCTGAGGGTTGAATGCAAATTAAGCAGGCATGCCCTTTCTGGAAGCCTTGTTTTAATCAATTCTGCTGCTTGGGTGGAAGAGTTGATGTTATGAAATGATAATAACGTTTCTTCCACTTGCCATAAGAAACTAAGGGGTTCTGTGCTGTGATAGAGGCCCGATTTAAAGGCTTATTGATTTATTCATCTGGTTGTCTGTGGAACATGTAGCATCTTGTGTTGCGGTGGTAGTTTCCGAGGATCTGAGCTTCCCAGGGGTGAACTTGAACCCTGGAACTTGCAAGACAATGCCTTAGAAGGAGAAGGCTGGAGTATGCCTAGCTCGCCCCTTTCTCATTTGTCGTGCAACCAGCCACCCTTTCTTCTGAGTCAGTTGCTTTAGTTGTAAAATCAGGATCAAGATGACATCTGGACTCTTCTATATTAAGAATTATATAAAGCATTTCTCTATTGGACAGTATGTTGAGGAAAACTTAGATCTTGATGATTTTCTTGAGACACTGTAGATCTAATCACCTGGGTAGTTCACTTTGGAAATTTCACTAAAACAGGAAAGCATATTAGGCCTCTGGTTTTATTTCTTTGTTTAGTTTTTGAGACAGGGTCTTGGTGTATAGTTCAGGATGGCCTTGAACTCACCATGGAGCCCAGGCTGGCCTCAAGCCTGTGGCACTCTTGCTGCCTTGGCTTCCTGAGTGCTGGGATTATAGGTGTGCAGCACCATACCCAGCTTAGGCCTCTGTTTTATTTATTTATTTGTTTGTTTGTTTGTTTGTTTTTAATTTTTTAGGTATCAGGGATTGAACTTGGAACTTGTAAGGCAGGTGGCAGAACCACTGAGCTATAAATCCCCAGCCCTAGGCCTCTGTTTTAAATAGATCACCCACACTAACAGTTTGGAGGACAAGATATGGAAGAGATTAAGCGAGACCATCACCCATTTCCTTTATTAAAAACAGTTTTGCATAACTTTACTGTTGTTTGCGATTGAATTGGCTCAGAGGATTATTATGATGTCTTTGACTTGACAGAGAAATCTTTTGGAAATCCTGCTCCTGCCTGGGCCCAGTGCAGTGCACTTAGGCTCTTGCTGTGTGGAGGGCTGGGTTGAGAAGTTTAATCTACAGAATAGGGAATGGCAGGTGGAATACGACAGGAGGTCTGAGCATCAGAAGCAAAAAAGAGCAGGCATGGGATCAAAAACTTGAGACAGAACTGAGTCAGAAAGTGGTTGGAAGACAAAGGCCCTCACAGAAATACTTACAAAGGCTGTGAATGGACAACCTGCAGAAGAGAGCATCAGAGTGGCCAATAAACGTGAAAAGTCGTTTAACTGCTCTAGCAATCAGAATAATACAAATTAAACCACAATGAAATGCCATTTATTCATGCATCCAAAATGTGCCACCTTGATACTATCAAGTATTGAACCAGACGTGGGAAAATGGGTACTTCCCTGCCGCTAGGAGCGTAAATGGATCTATTGATACATTGTGTTTGGAAAGCAATTTGCTGCATTTATCAAAACATGAAGTGTGTCTACCACTCCACACCTGTAAAAATTCATGCTGCAGAACTGCTGATTCGAGTACATTGAGATGTGTACAGGGATTCCATTGAAGCATTGTCTGTAAAACATGGAGAGAGAGAGAGAGAGAGAGAGAGAGAGAGAGAGAGACAGAGACAAAAAACCTGAGTGTCCACCAGCAGCAGAACAAATTGCAGTAGAACAAACTGCAGTAGAAACCACACGATGTGATCCTAAACAGTTATGAAAAAATGGAAGCAACTCCTCGAATGCCAACGTGGGACACTGCTCTGTGACACAGCTGCCCTGTGTGTCAAACACCACGGTGGTTCATCCTGCTGTCCCACCTCCTATTTTTTGACTTGGGCTTCCCGGCGCAGAGGCTGCTGAGTGCTCTGCCGAGTTGTCAGTTTGGAGTTGGGAATTGGACACTGGTGCCGGAGGGTGAGGAGACAGGAGAGGAAATGGAGGGAGAGGTGACTGGCCCAAGGCGCCACAGCTGGAAGTTTGTCTGGCAAAAGCCGTCCAACGGCAGCTCTGAGATGGTTTTGCTTCCTTCTCTGAGATTCACTCCCCACCTCAACCGTCCCCCACTCCCCCAGAACTGTGGATGTGATTATACACTGCCCCATACCAAGTAGATGTGCAACTAGTGTGACCCCAGGAGGTGACAAGTGCACCCAGCGGGGGTTTGATGGGCCAACCTGCTCGGGCGGCTAACCAGACTTTGCAGGGAAGGGGGAGCAGGGCCGACAGAGCGCTGCTCAGCCACTGCCGGCCGGCGGGGACTGCGGCCCCCAGCACCGCGTTCCCTGAGTCAGCGTCGGCCTAATTGGCGGACAATGGCATTAATGAAAAGGCCATGTTTCTTGACAAAAGCTCCCACCCTGCTCCCAGGCCTCCAGACAGCTTGAACCAGTTGCGCAGGGCCCCTCTTCTGGGGAGGATTCCATTCTGCTGGTGAACCGGGGACGCGGACGCCCTCTCGCGCTGGGTGTGCGCTCGGATTGGCCGGCAAATCTGCTGTCAGGGAGCCGCAGCACCGGGGGACCCTCAGAGACCGCAGAATTCCCCGGACTGACGGGGTGGGAGGGGCGGAGACCCAGCCACGGAAAAGGCGCAGACACTAGTGACATTACGACTGAGCTTAAATTTTGGACAAACTGTGGGACAGCGAGGGGCAGGGCGTGCAGGCGGGGGCGCTTCTGTCCACCCACCAGGGGAATGGTGGTAACTGACATCGCCTGGCTGCCAGCTCTCCCCCAGGTATCATGCCGAGGGATTTCCATCTTTCCACCTGTTTATGTCTCACAGTAACGCCCGGTAATAGGTATTCTTGTGACTTCCACTGTACAGATGGAGAAACCGACGGTCAGAAGGGCCATGTGGCTATCCCAGGTCACACAACTCCGGGAAGTAGCACAACTGCGGTTTCAACTCCGAATTTGTTTGACTCCCAAACTGTAAGGCTTAACTCACTGTACGTAGATAACGTAGGTGGAGAGGCTTGAGAAATGAAGGTTGCCAATTTCCATTATTTAGAGCCAACTCACATGTTCCAGGCATTTCCACATGACACGTATCACCTATGTACAGTGTGTCAGCTGCACTACTACCCCCTCCTCCCACCCACACGCTGGTCGTGTCCCCTATGTTTCAGGTGGGCCGAGGCCCAGAGTAGGCTGGTGGCCTGACCACAGAAACACAGCTGGCTGGTAGAAGGAGACAGCAGACTGGAAGAGATAAGCAGAAAGGCCAGCTGGCTGAGTCTCAGGCGGTGGGGAGGGATGGGGCAGGACCAGGCACAGGGCAGCAGCCCCTTCCTGGCTTCCTGACAGCGCTATTGTTTGAAGCCGGTTCTTGGACATCCAGGAAATGGGCGACATCACTCCCAACAAAGGAGAGGAAGCTGCTTGAATGTTTCAGCTCCACCTCACGCGCTCACCCTGGGGCTAGAGATGGGAGCCTTGCCAAGGCTGCTGACCCATCTCCCTGTGTCTGGCCTGCTCCCTCTCCCCTCTGCTAGCCCTATTCCAAACTCTTCAAGCACTGACCCGCAGGCCTTCCTGCCCTATAGATGTCCCCAGAACTGCACCCAACCCCTTTCTGAGAGCCTGAAGCCTCCCGTCCTGTGGAATGGAACTTACCTTCCACCATGGCCCATGGATGGATAAAAATACACCTTTAATTCTGGGTCCCAGGCCTGGCCTCAGTCTTCCCTTATGTGGAGGCAGAACTGGTCAGGCGGGGTCGGTCTGGATCTCCTTGAAGGACACTTTCACCTCCGCAGTTCCCTGTCCAAGCATCTTTCCTGCCTGAAGGAGCAGGAAGGGACAGCACCTGAGGCCTCAGACCAAGGAGGAGCCCCATGCAGCAGAACTGTCATCAAAGATGGGACAAAGCAACTTGGTAAGCAGAAATCAAAGGTGGTCTTTCTGCTAGGCTCTGGGATCACAGAGGCCCAGGTTCAAATCTCAGCTCTGCCCCGTGTGAGCTGTGTGACCTTGAACAAGTCACTCTACTTGTCTGACCTTTTCTTTCCTCACCTGTAAAATTCATGCAGTAAGGTCTACTGGTAGTTATGAAGATTAATTGGGGTCGTGGGCATAAAAGGGGCACAAGGCAAGTGTGAGTGCACAGTTCCTTCTCCCCTTACTTGGGTAGCTTTCTGGCAAGAGCTGGAGGGAAATGGGGAAATAGAATGTTGGCATCACGATTAAGACGCTCAAGGCTCTGGCAGAGCTGGGAGAGGATGATGCTGCTGTTTCCCATCTCTACAAGAGTGTGTGAGCAATGGCAGAGGTCTCTGAATGGCATCGGGCAAACTCACAGGCCAGCACTGCCCAGGTTGCACACACCTGTGAGCTTGTCTGTGTCTAGAACAGAACAACCACAGTGTGTGCAAGAGAGGCGTGTCATCAGGCTCCTCCTCTAATCTGCAGCACCAGGCAAGTGAGGTACAGTGCTGGCAAGTGACCCTGGCCCCCAGGTCACCAGCCTAGGTTTACGCCTCCCAGTGAGGGGCCCTGGACTTGAGGGACCCTCCCCATACCCCCTGGTTCCAGGACAAGAGCATCAGGAGTGGAGGAGAGGTTGATCACCTGTCTGTACTGGCAGAGAAAGAATGGTCCCCCATGCTGCCTCTCTTGGACAACTTTTCTCCTGGGCCTTCCCAAGATCTCTGGCCCCCTCGGACCAGTGGCGACCTTGGTCCTTCTCTCCATCAGTCTGATCTCAGGCTCCTCTTCTGCAAATAGATGTTAAAACATCCACCTCAAGGGCTGTTGTGAACTGACAGATGAGAAGGAGCCCTGAAGTCCAGTAAAGGCAAGGGGTTGTTTCAGAACTTCAATTTCCCTAGCAGGATTAGATGAGCACTTAATACATGTCATGTGATTGCCCCAGACCCCACGGAGATGTTGTAAAGGAAGCAGAGAGAAGAAGGGATCCACCCAAGGCCACACAAGATGTCACTGATTTGTTTGGAATCAGAACTCCCATCCCTGCTTCCAGCCCCGGGCCACCCTCTTCTATAAGCTGCATTGTCTCAGCCTGGCAGCCCTGCCACGCTGGGTGAGGAGAGGCAAGGCAGGAGAGGAGAGGAGGAGGAGGGTTACGAGGCACCTCCGCACCCCTCCCCCAGCCTCCCACCATAGGGAACAAATCTCCAGGAAGCCCAGCAGGTGGCCGGGTCCCAGCACTGATTGCAGGAGATGGCATGAGGGCCAGGCGGTTGCCATGGCGACTTCCTGAATCACAGCGCCTGTTCCTGCTGAGGCTTCGGGAAGTCAGACATACCTGGGCAGCCCCTGCCATACGCCTGGGCCTCTTTGAGGGGGAGGACACTTGGGAACGGGGCCCACCTGCGAGAAGAGAAGACACACACGTGTGCATGAGCTGTGGTGGCAGCAGGTGTGTGGCCCATGCACACACAGGATCGTAGGATGGGCAGAGCCACAAGTGGCCAGGCACACACCATCCTAAGCAACCCAGCCCGGGGGCCTGTGAGGATGAGAACAAGCCAAATGCAGGACTCTGGGAAGGCCTGGGAGGTGCACACAGGAAGCTGGTGGGCTGGGTGATGAAGTTGGTGGGGCCAGATCACGCAGGGCCTTCTGCCTGGCTGGGCAGCTTGGACTTTCACTTGGAGGTGCTGGGAGCCAGCAAAGGCTTTGGAGCAAGGAGAGAACATGGGTGGACCCGAGATCCCTCCAGCAGTTCATGGAGAATGGGTCAAAGGGGCAAGACCAAAGGCGGGCAGACCAGTGTGGCTGCTCTTTCTTCCCTGGCTCTCGTTTGTCTCTATCAGCACTGAAAGCCATGCTTGTTCACTGTCTGTTGTCCCTACTGGATGTCGGCTCCCAGGAGCAGAGGGTTTGGGCGCTCCTTTCCCTGGGGTATGTGGAGCCCCCGAAGAGGGCATGGACACAGGGCTTCAGTCAGCCGCTGAGCCAACCAACAGGCGTATGCGTGAGCCCTCCAAGGGGCCCTGTGCCGGTGCTGTCCCAGCCAGGGTGAGGCCAGGGCTGATTCCAGGAGGGATGCAGGATCCAAACTGGGAAATCGAAGCGGATGCCACCTGCTATTTGGGGACCTGGGAGCCCCCTCTGCGCCCCCCAGAAATGGAGCACAGTCACAAATGCAGGCCACGTGTAGTTTACATTTCCGAATAACACAGTGGAACAGCGCAAAGTGGCGGGTGAAGTTCATTTTCATGACATACTTCACTCAACCCTGTTTGAGCGTAATATTACATTTCAATAGGTTGTCGATACAAAGGGCTGTTGGTGAGATATTTTACAGTCCTCTTCGGGGGCACAAAGTCTTCACAACCCACTGTGTTAGTCCATAGCTACGGAGCACCTTGGCCCAGACCTGCGGTCAGTGCCACAGCCCGGCCCTGGGCTCCGGAGCCCCCACCTGTAATGAGCTGCAGCAGCTGGGCCTGCTGAGGTGCCCAGGGACACTAGCTGGATGAGACTGGGGACGGAGAGAAAACTGTCACATGGCTCGAGGGACGCCTCTTTCCTCTGCTCCTTTTGGGTCCGCCCTTCCATCTGTTACTCGCCCACTGGGTGGGACTGTGTGTGAAGCATCAATAACTGGGAGGGAGGAGGGAAGGCCCAGTGGGGGTACAGGAGAACTTTCCCAGGGAAGCCCCTGCCTCCATGGAAACATGGTTCTCCTGTCCCATCGAGCTCGGTCCCCCCAGAGGCCTGAGCTTTGTCCCTCGGAGCCAAGAGCCCAGTAATCCCCAAACAATCCGAGTTTAAGGCCTCTTCTTTCAGGTTCCTGCAGAAAGCAGGGACTGGTTTCCACCGCTGAACCAGCAGAAGAGGTGGGAGCAGGGACGAGAGAAAAGTTGTCCTCAGTGCTTGAAGGCATGGGTTCAAGTCCTGCTTCCTTCTCTTCCTAGCCAGCGACCTTAGAGAAGAGACCTTGACTTTCTAGGCTCCATTAATGTAGGTGGAGCGGGCTGTGAAAGCATGTGATCTGTAAGAAAGGGTAGCAAGGACTCGGGAAGGGACTGTCTTCCAGAAAAGACAAGCTCATGAGAGTTTTGCGTAGAAACCCCGACTTGCTGTCTCCAGCTGGGGATGGGTGGGCTCATTCCTCACGAATGAAAATTCTATAACCGGGTCCGGCTTGAGACTCTGCCAGGGCTCAGTCTGGGTTAAGAGTCCCTTCCTTTGAGCACTCCTTCATTGTATCACCTACTACCCCTTAGTGCCAAGTGAGTCAAACAGCTCTTCTTTACAGGGGAGAAACTGAGGCACGGAGAAGTATGATGACCGGGAAGTGGCTGAACTGGGTTTTAAACCTTGGCCTCCTTGTCCAGAGCCATTGCCTCTGGGACCTGCCCAACATGCAGAGGTGCTGACGGGCTGCTCTCCAGGAGTCACACGCTGGGGTCACCTTGCCTCAAGACGTGTAGGAGTAGTGATCTGCGGGGCCAGGCGCGGCCGGATCCACAGGTTGAAGACTGTTCCTCTGGGCTTCCGGACTCCGTGCCTTTCCCCACAGCCCCTTCTTCCCTGGGCCGCCTCCCTTCCTGGCCTGGTGCTGGGGGTGACCGTTGGGTGGGGTGGCATCCGGGCTGGGGCAGGAGCTGTCAAGAGGGTGTCTGGGCAGAGACTGATGGGCTGTCACTTGGCTGCCGGCACATCCTCAAATTCTTTGTCTCTGTGCACGTGGGTTCTGCAGAGGGCGGGGTGAGGACAGAGCAGAGGAGGAGAAGTTGGGGGGAGACCCTCCGTGGCACCCACTGCCTCTGCTCCTGGCTGACTACCCTGAGGCTTGGTCTGATGTGCGCACGCGTGTCCACGAGCCAACGTGTGTGTGTGTGTGTGTGTGTGTGTGTGTGTGTGTGTGTGTAAGTCAGGGCCCTGCTTCCAGTTTTGAGGCCAGACAGGAGTTCAAACTTTGGGGGGCCCTGGGCAGATCTGTCCCAGGCTTCTGTTTCTCCCCATGCCGTGGGTCAGGCCAGCTCTGGCATGTTGTGACCTATGTAAAACAGAGCTGATGGAACAGTTGGCCCTGAACTTCTAGAAGCCTGGGGGCTCTAAGCAAGGACTCTCAGTGCTGCCTCTTAGCACTGCCACAGGGAGGCACCCACGGGACAGCTCAGGACAGGCTGGGGATCATCAGAGAGCCCAGGACGGTGAACTCCCCACTGAGGCACCTGCCAGAGGACAAAGCCAGACTCCTTGGTGACTGTGCTGGGGAGGTGGGGGGTCTAGGGCAGGAGCAGAGCTGTCATCTGTTGTGAAAGTTTGGGCCACTTCCACTCGGGGTCCTGCCCACCCACCGGAGCCCCCATGGCCCCACTCCCACCATCACACAAACAGCCGCTCAGCTGTGCTCACAGCCATGCTGGGTCCCCATCACGGAGCCACTGCAAGGCTTGGCCACCCTCAGATGTAGGCTCTCGGGGAGCCCAGGAGCCTACCCACGCACACAGGTGCACCGGAATGAATGACACAGACGGCCACGCGGCTGCAGCCCTCCGAGCGGCCCACACCCATGTGGAGAGTCACAGGGCCGGGGCACAGCGCTCCTGCCTGCGAGCATTGGATCCCACATGACAAGTGTGTGGCTGTGCGTGGGAGCACAGGTTGGCCCTACACCTGGAGAACGGCTTTGCATCTTCGGGGGTACAAGTGCCTGGGGGGATGGCCTGGCCGGCCGCTGGGAAGAGGAAGCCACACGGCTTCCTCCCTCAGCATCCTCAGCATCCTGGCCTCACAGCTACAGCTCCAACCATCTCTTATTCCATCAATTGCCCCTCTAGTCCTACAGTACAAACGCAATCAGCCCGACTGGGGTAAAGCAAGGCAGGGAGGAAGGGCATTGTCCAAGGACAGAGCCCTCGGATATCAGAGGCGGGACTGGAAGCCAGGGTGGTGAGGTCCCCCAAACCCGCTCTATCCCCTGCTAGCCCTCCACATTTGCAGTGCTGGGGGCGCCGCAGCGTGCTGGTGGGGGGGCGCCCTCCAGGACAGCACCCAAGGGTTTCCGGGCACAAAGCCACTTGGCGGCGCTCAAGGGGGCGCTCGTGGGAGCGAGCGCTGCGGCCCGCGCCTCCGGCCAAGATGTTCCCTCTCGGAGTGATTGACAGGCTCGAGTGCCGAGAAACAAAATTGTTTATGCGCTAATGAATAAGGCCCTGATTGCAAGATCCTGTTTGGAAAATTATAGTGCGGCGGCGGCGGCGGCCGCGGCGGCCCAATTACAGCCCGCGCTGCATATTCATTTCGTCTCTCCTTTGCATGGAGATGAACGGGCGGCCCCGCGCCCTGCAAAGCCAACGCCAAATTTAGTCCCAGGTTCCGCACTCCTCCGCGCCATTGTCTGCCCCAGACCACCTGCCTCCTGCCGGCCTGATTGCCCGGGAGGGCGCGGGGAGGAGGCCGAGAAAGTTCCCTGCCCCCTCCGCCCGCCAGCGCCCCCTGCTCTGCTCCCCGCCTGGCTTCCTCGGCTCCCCGTCCCGACTCCCCCCTCATTCTCTCCCGGCCTCTCCTGCTCCCTTTTCCTCCTCTCCTTTCTCTGTGCCTGACATACGCCCTCTAGATCAGGATCAGTCTCTACCTCGGGTGTCCTCTCGGTTCCGTGGAAGCCACCTTGGCTCTGAGGATGGGCTGGCTTGTCGGGACCCGAAGGTTCCTCCAGGTGCTGCCTCTCCTGCTGTGCCCATCCCGCCTGCCTCCAGGCTCCTGGGGATGAGTGAGAGGCTGTCTCACCCCTGGTCTTGCTCCCTTGCTGCCCTCCGTCCGTCGGAGACTCTCCCACTGTAGGGAACCTTCTGCCCTTCTCTCCCCAGGGCCCCGCAATAGCTCCCTGCCCCAGCGAGAGAGCACGCTGTTCCCAGGCGGGGCAGCCCTTCTGGGCTGGCCTGTGAGGCCTGACTCCCGGGCTGTGGCCGGGAGCCTGATGAGCAGCTTGGGGATGACAAATCAAACACAGCTCCTCTGTGAGTGGGGGGCTGGAGGGTGTTGGAGGTGGAGTGGGCCCCGTAGGCCAGGATCAGCTCTGGCTCCAGCCCGTGACAAGGACGACGGCTGCTTCTCCCTGGGTCACTGCCCTGCTGGCCCGAGTGTGTCCAGGGAGGCTCAAGGTGAGGATGATGATGGCCCGGTCCTTACTAGGGTGAGGCTGTGCTCCTCCCCATTTTACGGGGCGTTGGGGGGAGGCCAGGGAAGTGACCAGAGCACCCTTTCCTAGGGTTAGAACTGGGGGACACGAATATGAACGAAAACCGGACAACAAGACACCAACTCTCTTAGACAGACACCTGCACTTGGAGACACAAGAAGCAACACAGTCACACAGTCCCATACACAAACACAGACAGATTCTCCTTGGAAGACTCACACCCGGGAGACACAAAGGCAGCCCCGGCCCTAGGGGCCGTGTGTGATGCAGCACTGCCCCCTGGTGGTTATTCTAGGAAGCGCTCAGGCCCAGGTTGACGTCTCCAGCCACCCTGAGCCCTAACGGGGGCCTCGCAGACCCAGAGAATGGGGAATCTCAGGGATGTGGTTTCAGGAAGAAAAAGGAATTTCAGCATCCTGAGTGTGAGGCTCTCTAGAGCTCCAGTTCCCTGCCCCGGTCCCATTACTCCAGGCACAGAACTTGCTCACAGCAGGGCCTGTTGGGTGTCGGTGAGAGGGAGCTGCCCGCCCTGGGAGGTGTGCATTCTGGGCTAGGACCACCTCACATGGGTGCTCTTTCGTGGCTCAGGGACAACATCAGAGGGCATTCCCAGCCCTGGGGGGTACGCTCAGCTCCTCCTACCCCACCCCAGCCTGCCACTCTCTTCCTTGTGGTTTATTTACCACGTCATGCTGAGATGGCATCTGCATTCCTGGAGCATCAGTGTGAGAGCCTGGATGGTGGGAGATGGGAGATGAGGCCGCAGAGGGCAGCAAGGCCACAGCCCGGAGGTGTCCTCAAGCCAGTCTCGGGGCAAGGGCTTATTCTGGGTGTTACAGGGATCCGGAGGCAGGCTCGGACAAGGAAGATGGCAGACGGCATGTGAATGCTGGCAAAGGAAAGCAGGGAGAGGCAGGAGGGTCAGGTGTGAGGGCAGCCATGTCCTGGAGTGGGCAGGGGCAGGAGTGGATAGTCAGGCACCCATTCCAGAGCTGCTGAGCAGGCTGGCTCACCAGGCCTTGATGAGGAATTGGCCACGGAGAGCAGGGAGCTGCGAGGGGTGAGTGCAATGCTGAGGAGGTGATTTGGCTGTTGATTTGGTTTAGATCTGAAATGTCTCCCCAGAGTCTCGTGCATTCAGAGATAGAGCTTTTGCAAGGAGTCTGGATCACGGGGTGCTGCACTTCTCTGCAGGTTAATTCATTGATGAGCTCAGCTATATGCTGTGAGGCAGTGGGGGCTGGGTGGAGAGGTGCATCTCTGCGGGCCTGCCTTTGCACACCTCTCCCTCTTTCTTCCTCCCTCTCTCTCTCTCTCTCTCTCTCTCTCTCTTTCTGACTCTTCCTCTCCTATGTCTTGGCTGCTGTCCGTTGAGTACCTCTCCTCCACCAGGCCCTTCTACCTTGCTGTTTCGGCCTCAGAGCCAATGAGGTGATTTGGCTGTTGATTTGGTTTAGATCTGAAATGTCTCCCCAGAGTCTCGTGCATTCAGAGATAGAGCTTTTGCAAGGAGTCTGGATCACGGGGTGCTGCACTTCTCTGCAGGTTAATTCATTGATGAGCTCAGCTATATGCTGTGAGGCAGTGGGGGCTGGGTGGAGAGGTGCATCTCTGCGGGCCTGCCTTTGCACACCTCTCCCTCTTTCTTCCTCCCTCTCTCTCTCTCTCTCTTTCTGACTCTTCCTCTCCTACGTCTTGGCTGCTGTCCGTTGAGTACCTCTCCTCCACCAGGCCCTTCTACCTTGCTGTTTCTGCCTCAGAGCCAACCTACCACGGACTAAACACTCTGAAATGAGCCAAAG